GTGTCCCCACATCCCCTGTGCACCCTATGTCCTCCATGTGTCCCCATGTCCCCCGTGTCCCCCATGTCCCCATGTCCTCCATGTGTCCCCATGTCCCCTGTGCACCCCATGTCCCCCCATGTCCCCTGTGCACCCCATGTCCCCATGTGTCCCCATGTCCCCTGTGCACCCCATGTCCCTTGTCCCCTCATGTCCTCCACGTGCCCCCTTGTGTCCAAGTCCTCTGTGTCCTCATGTCCCCACGTCCTCCATGCACCCCTGTCCCCCATGTCCTCCATATCGCCACGTCACCCCTGTCCCCACACGCCCGGCCCCGGCGCACCCACCCAGTGCCACGTCCCCAGGCGATGGGGTCGCCTGGAAACCCCATCCCGGCTGGGCGACAACGTCATCCCCCAAGCGGGAACCGTGGGTGCCTGGGTGCGAGTGCTAACAACTAATAAATTAATTTCATTATTGAATTAAATTTATAAGGCACGAGAAGAGGATGTCCGCGGTGGGTAATGCACCGCTGGACGTTTCGCACGGGCCACCTTCCCAAACCCAAAAGCAAAGGGGCGAGACGGGGCCAGGGGTCGGTGGCCGTTAAACGAAGCACTGTCGGTAACGAGGTTCGTTTCGAAGGCTGGAAAATCCGGAACGATGGATGGATCTGCTCGTCCATCCCTGGACCGCCTCGTTTACCCGCACTCCTTAAAATCCTTCTGGCTTTTCCCGCTGTTGATCTTAAACTCCTGGGGATGCTCCAGTAGATGAGATTGAGGGGAAATTTGGTTTAGAGCTTGAAAATTAAATGTTGTCCGAGCCGGGCTCCGCTCCCATGGGAATTAAAGGCTGGGAGTGGGATAACTACCGGTGCAGCGCGATGGAGGGATGGAGCTGGGAACGTCCGTGTTGTCCCAGACCTGTGCTTGGCCCCCAGCTGCTCGTTATCCTCATCGGATGCTGGGAAAAAAATATATCTATATCTGTTGGTGACAAGAAACCGAGTCTGGATGGTGCCCAGGGCGGTGGCCCGTCACTGTGTGAGCTCACCCCGGTGCCCCATGGCGTCCCCAGGGACCCCGGGCTGGTGGCATGGGATTGTCCCACGGATGCAACTCTCCATCCCGGCTGGTCCTGGAGGGGTGGGATGGGGCTGGGAAGCCGCTCCCAAGGGATTCGCCCTCCAGCTAAGCGCTGGATCCTGGCCTGTCCTCGCGGGGATGGAGGGTGCTGCCACCCCTCCACAGCTCCTCCCAGACCCCAAATCTTTTTTCCCCTCCTGGCCTTTTTCTGCTCATTTTTGCTGCTCATCACCGGGACGAGCATCAGGCCAACACTGACATCAAGTGGCTGCTGGGATCCCTCGCACGCCTGGGCCGCATCCTGCCTCTCCCTGTGCTGGGAGCAGCCCAGCATCGCCCACACGGCCTCATCCTGCCCTGGAGAGGGGCGCGGAGCCAAGTGGGGTCAGGAGCCGCGGCCGGCGGTGCCAGACATCACCCCAACAGGTCTCCGTCCCCCCTCGCCAGGCAGGACGAAGCCAGCCCTGCTCCATCGCCACCCCGCTGCATGTCCCCAGACAGGCCATCGCCGTGTCCTACTCCTGTCCCCGGCGTCCCCGGCTGCGGCAGTCGATATCCCAGCCGGGTCGAACCCGGCGCGCTGACGGCATCACCGAGCCGGGAGCGTCCACTGCATCCCTCGCCCACGGGGCCCCGGCGGGAACCCCCAGCCACGGCACCCCCATCCTGTGGCTCTGCCCCGCCAGTGGCAAGGTCACGGGGACGGGTGAGCAGCGAGGTCGTGGTGGCCCTGCCACCGCCCTGGCGCTGGGGACATTTGTCACCGACACCCTGCCAGCAGCCGTGGACTTTGTGCCGAGCACGGGAGCAGCGGCGGTGACATGTCTGCCAGCGCTGACAGAGCCCCACATCGCCTGCAAGACCTGGCTTCGGACAGCAGGTAGCACCAGGGTGACATCCCCTCCTCTCGGGGTGATGCGGTGACACGGGGCTCCCCGGGGAGGATGGATCCCCCCATGGTGCCGCTGCCCCAGCCCCGGGTCTGGAGTCAGCTCTGGGGGGAAATCACGGTGTTGCTCCCATTTTAAAGCAGGGGAAACTGAGGCACGGCAGCACACCAGGTGCCAGAGTGGCTGCACAGACCCGCTTTTGGGGGATAAGGGCTGGGAAATCCCATTTTTCCTCCAAACCGCTGGGCTCAGAAGCCTGGAGGAGTTTTGCAACACCCCATTCACCCTCATCCCAGCTTCCCTGAACCCGGAGCCGAGCTCACCCAGGGAAGGCCGAAGCCCAGGATGGGTTTCAGGGAGAGCGATGGCTCCGGTGGGATATTGGCTGCAGGCGGAGCTGGGAATAGGGGAGCAGGTGTGGGTGCTCAGCCCCAGTGCGGGAACCCACCCATGGGTGGGGAAGGAGGTGGAGGTGTGCCCGGGGCTGGGCTGCCGGTGGATTTATCTCCCGAAAGGCTCCAAGGTCTGGATGTTGCTGGAAGGGCTGAGCTCTCTGCGATGCAATGAGGTGTGTCAGGTCTCTGCAGACCTCCCTTGGGATTTCTTTGTCTGAGATCCCCGCGTTGCAGACCCGTGACCCTGCACGGTGCTAAATGGGGTGTCGGGGGGTGTGGGACCGCAGTGCTGGACACAGTCTGGGGAGGGCTCAGTGGTGATGCTGGTGGTTGTTTATCCCCCAAGTCCGGAAACATTCCGCTGGGAAGGAAAGGGAGGGGAGAGCCGGGGCAGTTCCCAGCACCGGAGCAGGAGGGATGTTCCCAGCTGTGCCCGGAGGCAGCCCCGAGACATCCGCATATGTGTGGCCCCAGCGGTCCTTGACCCCCCCAGCATCGTCCTTTCCTACCCCTTCCAGCTCCCTGGTGGCTCTGCAGTGACCGGGAAGGGTCAGGGACCTGCTGGTGGCCTGGGACAGGACGGAACTGGACGGCGACAGGTCAGTGCCGTGGCTCTTGGCTTGGGGCTTGGGTGCTGCCACCCAGCACCCTTGGGTGTCATCGCCCTGTCCTTCCAGCCTTCGCGTGGATGGAGCGGGGAGGGGGCGTGCGTAAAAAAACAGGTCCTTCGCCCTAGAAACGTGGCTTTTCCTGGGGATTTCCTGGCTGATGCAAGACAGGGCATGAGAAAAACAGTGGCTTTGAGCTTAAGTTGTTGCTGGAGAGAGGTTGTCCCCATCTGAGGAGAGGAATCTTGCTTTAAAATCGAGTTTGGCCCCTTGCTGGGTCTCTTTGGGTCCATCAAGATGTCAACTCTCGGGTAGGATGAGGTCGGGTGGAGGTGGAGAGATGCTGGTGGTCTCCCGTGGCAGGGAGAAGGTACAGGACTCTGGGGAGCAGCTGGAGCAGACACGCGGACATCGCCTGCCTCAGCACCCGCGCCCCAGCGCAGGGCTGCTGGGAGCCTCGGGGCCGCATCCAGCCCCCGTCCTGACTGCGCTGGCACCCGGCGAGGAGCTGGTGGCACCACCATGTCCCAGGCAGAAGGTACGGCTGAGCCCTCCGCCTGTCCTGGGGAGGCACAGGATTTGCACAGGGATCCCGGCGCTGGTGTGACCCCCTGCTATCTGCACCAATCTCCATCCCATCCTGTTTAATGGCCCCATTTTGCTTGGATTTTTGAACCTAAAAGCACATTTTGCTCCAGACCCTGATTTGCAGGGTGCTGGGCTGCTCCAGGAGCTCCTGTAGCAGTACCCCCTGTCCCCATGTCCCCCCCAGGTCCCCCTCACGCTGCATGGGGAGGGCGGTCGGATCTGGATGGAGCTGGGGGGCACAGAGATAAGCACTGGAGGGGAAGCGCAGGCGGGTGGTCCCCAAAGCCTGAGGGATCCATGCATGGACCACCCTGCTCCGTCCCTCCCAGGCGGCGAGGGGACGTTTGAATACTGCGATGTGGTCATCAACAGCCAGGAGAAGGTTTCAGACGTGTACACGCAGCTGGAGAAGCTGGGAGAGTAAGTGGGGGTCCCGCATCCCCGCTGCTTGGGGATGGGCCTTGGCTGTCCATGCGCAGCCGTGGGTGGGATGCAGGGTGGTGATGGCTCCTCCATCCCTCATCCTTGCTCTGTCCCAGGGGAAAATTTGGGACGGTGTACCGGCTGCAGGAAAAAGCCACCGGCAAAATCCGGGCTGGGAAATATTTCCGGACGCGGACAGCTAAAGAGAAGCAGGCGGCTCGGGCTGAGGTGGAGCTCATGAACCTGCTGCATCACCCACGCCTCGTGCAGTGCCTCGCCGCCTTCCAGGGCCCCGCTGAGCTGGTGATGGTGATGGAGTAGTGAGTGGGGGGGCAGAGTCAAGTTTAGGGGTGGTGGGGACAGTGCTGGACCCTGCAAGGAAGAGCACTGAAGGTGGGGAGGGATCCCTGCACCGTGGGGTGCTGGCATGGGGCGTAGGATGGATGGGGAACCTGCAGACCCTGGAGATCCGGGTGGCGAGATCCTCCCAGAGCGCTGAGTGCGGGTTCCCTGGTGGGGCTTCTCCTCCTCGGGGCTGGTAGACCCCAGCGGGGTCCCCAGCACCTTGTCCTCCCCCAGCGTGGCAGGTGGGGAGCTCTTTGAGCGCATCGTGGACGATGACTTTGAGCACACGGAGCCCAGCAGCGCCCAGTACATGCAGCAGATCCTGGAGGGGCTGCAGTTCATGCACGGCCAGGCCATCGTCCACCTCGACCTCAAACCCGAGAACATCGTTTGTATCAGCCCCGGCAGCCACTGGCTCAAGATCATTGACTTCGGCTTGGCGCGGAAGCTGGGTGAGCGAGGAGGGGGGTCCTGGGGCACCAGGGCAGAGACTGTCACCGTCACAGGGACACAATCCAGCTGGGCATGTCAGCAAGGAGCTTGGCATCCTTCTGCCCATGCCTTTGGGACGGGCAGCCCTGTGGCACCGCCTCAGGGCCCTTCCTGGTCACTGTAAGATGCGCTGGGGAAACCTGCACATCCCCAGCCCTGCCTCCAAAGTGGAGACCCCCAAGACCCCTGTGCCTGTGGGTGCCTGACACCCAGGGATGCTCTAGGAGAACACCAAGAGCTGCGATGGGTCCTGGAGGGTGGCAGCTCTGCCTGGACGCAGGGGCTCATCCGCCTGGCATGTGTTGGCATGCAGCTGGGCTGCCCCAGGGAGATCCCAGCTGCACATCGGCCCTGTGCATCTTCTCTGCAGCTCCAGACACCCCCGTGAAGGTGATGCACGGCACCCCTGAGTTCATGGCTCCAGAAGTGGTCGCCTTTGAGCCCGTGGGCTTCTCCACAGACATGTGGAGCGTTGGTGTCATCTGCTACATCCTGTGAGTGGCCTCCTGGGAACAGCAGGGCGGGCTGGAGGGCGCTGAGCTGTCACTGATGTCCTTGCGTCACCTCCCCAGGCTGAGCGGGGAGTCCCCCTTCCAGGGGGACAACGACATGGAGACGCTGAGCAACGTCACAGCTGCCCAGTGGGACTTTGAGGAGGAGACCTTCTCGGAGATCTCCCAGCAAGCCAAGGACTTCATCAGCCAACTGCTGCAGAAGGACCCCCGGTAGGACCTGGGGGTGGCTGTGGGGTGCTGAGCTGGAGCTGGGCTGGGTTTTGGGGTGCCAAGGGGATGGGCAGGGCAAAGCGCTGAATGCAGTTGATGGAGGGGATGCTCGTGGTGCCGTGCCAGCATCTGATGGTGGAGAAGCCCCGGCATGACTGCCCGCTGTTCCCCCAGCCACCGGCTCTCCAGCGCGGGGGCTCTGCTGCACCCCTGGCTGCAGCAGCCCCAGCCCAGCAGCACCAAGGCGCTGTCAAAAGAGAGGATCAAGCAGTTCCTGACCCGTCGGAAGTGGCAGGTACCTGGGGGAAAGATGAGGACGTGGGGACAGGGATGGCTCTGGTGGGGCTCAGTGCTCCTTCTCTTCTCTCCAGAAAACAGGCAAGGCTCTGCTGGCCCTCAACAGGTTGACCCTGCTGTCCCAGGGCCCGGAGAGGAAAGCGTCAGAGGCTCAGGATGAGGAAGGTGATGGCCCCTGCAGCATCATCCCCAACGCACCCCACCAAGCCACTTCTCCCTGCTTTGTCACCCCCAGCTCCTGCTCCTGGGCAGCTTCTCCCACCTTTGCTCCAACCTGCCCTGGTGCCACCAAACACCCGAGCATGTCCCTGCTGTGGCATTCCT